GTTAGATATCCAGAGCCAGGAGGAGAGTGGCCCTGGCAGCTCAGTGAGCCTGGAAGAAGGAGCCGGAAATGCAAGGGAGCGGTTACAGAGCTGGCCTCCCTGCACTGGGCTTTAGAGTTTACAAAACTCACCCTCCCAGACCGGCTCTGACTGTGAGGGGGACTCCAAGCAGTGGGGAGGGACAGGGCTACAGCTGGTACAAATGCCTCACCCACCACAGGGAAGAACCCCACTGATGAGTACCTGGAGGGCATGATGAGCGAGGCCCCGGGGCCCATCAACTTCACCATGTTCCTCACCATGTTTGGGGAGAAGCTGAACGGCACAGACCCCGAGGATGTGATCCGCAATGCTTTCGCCTGCTTCGATGAGGAGGCCTCAGGTGGGCAGTCTCTGGGTGGAGGCTGGAAGGGGCTGGCTGGGGCTGGCACTCACCCTGGGTACCCCTGCAAGTAGGACTGGCTGCCCCCCAAAGACCAGAACAGAAAACAACTGTCTGCTGGTTTCTGTGACCAGAACTATCAAAGACATGCTGCCTCCTTGTTCCTTCCACAAAAGGCTGGACCAAAACCACCCAGTCAGTAAAGCTTCCCACTTTGAGTTCTCTTGTCCAGCACACACTCCCTCCCCCTGCTTGAGAACTTTATAAAGTTCTCAGAAACAAAACCCTTTCATTCCCTTCTGACCAATAAGGTACAGAAACTATAGCCCATCCTCAAAGCTTCTAAAGGACTTCCTGTCCCAATGCTGCTTTCCCCAGGTCAGGCCAGAGCGATGCTGGCAGCCGGAGTTTCAGTAATAACGTGGCTCAGGGGCCTAAGCACAGTCAGGGCATGTTCCTGAATACCTTTGTGGCTCCCCACCAGCGTGGCCTATTTTCATCTTCACTTTCCAAATCCAACAGAGTGTTCAGTAACTTGCTCAAGATCATATGGCTAGAAAGGGGGTTCAGCATTCAGACCAGGCAGTGGAGGCAGGGTTCATGTTCTCAAAGCACAAGGTAGCTGACACCCCCACACTCAGCACCAAGTTTCCCACAAAAACACCTCAAAGACCAAAAAAAAAAAAATACCTCAAAGACAGAACTCTCCCTCTTGGGTCCTGCCTAGCAACGGGTTGTGTCTTTTTCTGACCTCTCCCTGGCTATAAGGTCTGTAAGGCTGGTGAGGGGCTGAGGGACAGGGGCATGCCCCAACCCAAGGCCTGCTCTCATGGACCCTGGCCCTGCCCCCAGGTGTCATCCATGAGGACCACCTCCGGGAGCTGCTCACCACCATGGGTGACCGCTTCACAGATGAAGAAGTGGACGAGATGTACCGGGAGGCGCCCATTGATAAGAAAGGCAACTTCAACTACGTGGAGTTCACCCGTATCCTCAAACATGGGGCCAAGGACAAAGACGATTAGGCCACCCCAGTCCCTGCCAAAGGCCAGGCCCATGTCCAGTCACCTGCTCCACACACACACTTGTCTGCACCAGTTCCTGCCTAGAACCTCTCAGAGGCTCCTCCCACTGAGGGGTTGGGGGCCAGTCCCCAGCAGAAGAAACCCGCCAAGAGAGCACAGTGCCAGACAAGGGGCACACAGCCAACATGAGGCAGGTACCCACCATGCCCCTCCAAGGAAGGCCCACCTCCTAGGGAGCTGAGCCAGACGGCAGCACCAAGGAATGTCCTCAAAAAAACCCAGGCCTCAGTTGCAGCCTGCCCCTACAGGAAGGGCCTGTGTCCTGGTCTGCAGGGCAGGAGAGCCCTCCAAGCCACTGCCACGAACACCAGCCTCACCAGGACCCCCTCTCAGCCCACAGGACCAGACCCCTTGCCCAACACCTTGTCCAGCAGAATAATACACACACCCCCACACACTGGACATGTGCTCCAGAGAATGCTGAACTGTGGATATTTGCCCCAGGAGCAGCAGAATCTCTAATAGAAGGATGAACACTGCTTTGAGTCTGCGTGTCTGTGCTTGGGTGAAATAAGGGAACCCCAACTCCCCTCCTATCCTCATGGCCACCCTGTCCTCGCCTGCTAGGCAGGGAGAGGTTCCATAGACCAGCCCAGCAGGGGAGCAGACAGTGGTGCTAAAAGCAAGGACCATGCTGGTCCTCCTGAGATCATGGGAGGGAGCAGAGAGGGGAGGGCCATGGGGGATCCCAGGCAGCCAGCCAATCCTAGCGGGAAGTTCCAGATCTCTTAAGGGGTCATGGCCACACAGCCTGGCTCTCCAGTGGCACCTCAATGCCGCTTGAAAGCCAGGTGGCCCCAAAAGAGCAGGGAGGCCTTGGGAAGTGTAGGGACTCAGTGCATGCCAGAATCTCAGGAGTGGAGGAGTTTAGTGAATGAATTCCCTGAGATCGGTGTCGGGGGGCAGCCACCAGATGCTCTCTGGACTGTACCCTCCAGCAGGAGAGTCCATATAGCAGGCCTCAGAACTTTACACCCTGCATGCACGAAAGGCAGGTGGCATTTGAATAAAAGCAGAAATACTGCTTGAAGGAACAGAAAGCCAATAGGGCCACGGACCGCCTGAGGTAGCCTGGGGCTGGATACATCCTGGCTGCCTCAGCAGAGGACAGGAAACAGGGTCCAGCTTGGTCCTGCTGCCTAGCTAGGCCACCCAAAGCCAGCCAGCCACAGTGCACACGCAGGTTGAGACGAGCTGACAGAGAGCTCTAAAGGGACCTGTCCCACTAGGAGCCCTCACCTCCACAGGCGTCTGCCCGACCTTGAGGCCAGGCCCTTGCAGTGCACCTTTGAAACCTCTCTTCATGCCTCCAAATTAAAGCCCAGGAGCTGCTGATGTCCAGCCACAAACAAGTCCTAGCCAGGTCCAAACACTGCCCAGACACAGTCCCTGACCCCAGCCTTGACCAGGCCCCAGACTGCAGGCCCTGGAAATCCTCAGCTTGACCATCCACTCACAACTGCTTGCCCAGAGGGAGGAGCCAGGGTGCCCTCCCAGGACACAACAGGGTCACAGGTCATGCTGTAGAGTCACTAAGTTACCAGAGATGACTTGGGAAAAGGCAGGAACATGTGTTTAGGAACAATCCTCAGATTCCAATCTTGCACTAGCCTGTTCCCCCCACTCCAAAGAAGTGGAAAGGGCATCCATCTGGGTAGGGAGTGAGGAGCTGGCGAGAGGTTGGCAGGACACCACGGAAGGGCAGGACTAAGCTAGAAGCAGAGCAAGGATGGACCAGTGCTGCAGGGATAGAAATGGTGGGGCAGAGGCTAGGAGCAAGAGGCATATGCAAAAGTCAGGAAGGAGGCCGTTTCTCATCGCGTGAACGTTCATGAGTCTTAGTAGCCAGGCCCTCCCTGGTAGTGCAGCAGGTTAAAGCACAGCACTATGAAGCTATCGCAACCACTGCAGCATGAGTTCGAGCACTGGCTGGGGAGGTGACCCACATGGGGCAGCAGACCTCTCCTGTCTTGCCTGCTGCTCCCCTCAGCAGTGTATGTCAGTTAGTCCTCCTGTTCTGCTCCCCACTGCTCACCCGACCTCCCCCAATCCCTGCGCCTCTGGCCTATACCCCAGCTCTTGTATGCATAAATAAATCTTTAAAAAGAAAAGCAAAGGCACAAAATGATATAAATATAAGCTATTATATTATTTTTTAAAAAATAGAAGCAGCAGCCAGTGTTCTACTTATTGTGAGCAACTTCTTGAGCTAACAATAAAATGCATCTAGAACTTTCAAAGCCTGGCACAAAACTCAGAAGCCACAAAAGACCGATGGTTTTAAATGCATTAACAAGGAATTCCTTCTATGGGCTAAAGAAAACACAGCAAAGTCCAAGTGCAAATCAGGAGAAAATATTTGCAGCATATTTAACGACAGCAACAAAAAGATTCAATGACACTTTTCCATAAAAACCTCAATAATTCAATATGAAAAATCACCATTCAGCAAAAACAATGGGCAAATAACACGAAAAGAGAATCTCACAAACATATATTTTAAGTGCTTAACACCATCATGTAATTGTCAAAACCATCTATTTTTTCCTAGTTTTAATTTTTTTAAAGATTTTTTTTCTATTTATGCATACAGAACTGGGGTACAGGCCAGAGGTGCAGGGGCCAATGAGAGGATTCACCAGAGACAGAGCGGGGAGCAGAACAGGCAGAACACTGCTGAGGGGTGCAGTGGGCGGGTCAGGAGAGGTCTGCTGGGCCATGTGGCTCAGCTCCAGGCCAGGGTTGGAACTTGCACTGAAAAGGCTGCCGCTAGCTTGCAATGCTGCATCCTAACCCGTTGCGTCGCCCAGGAGGGCCTACTTTTAATTTTTATAGTTGGATCTTTGATGAGAGGTGGGTTTTGACAATTCTATTTGCTGAAGCCACAATGCTCTCTAAAAAAGGGGGTGACCCTGGACTATGGTGATGGCACTAAATGATGTAAAAATAAAAAAAAATTTAAAAAAAGGGTGTGACCTCATATCATACTGTTAGATTTATTTTTTGATTAGCTAACTTAAATGTTAAGTTGTGGTTAAATAACACAAACATAAATATGATCTCATCAACTCTCAAGAGTACCGTTGGGAGAACAGAGCACATTCACCCTGTTGTGCAGACATTACCGCCTGTATCGCCAAGACATTTTCGTCTTCTTAACTGATTACTGTCTCAGGACACAGCAAATATCCCCCAAGCCCGGCAACCACCACTCTACTTTCTGCCTCCATGACCTCAACTACTCTCAATCCCTCTTGTAAGTGTGGTCACATAGTATTTGTCCTTTGGGGAATGGTTGTTTTCACTTAGCAAAATGGCCTCAAGATTCATTCATGCTGTGACAGGTATCAGAATTACCTTGCTCTTAATGGCTGAATGACATTCCATTGTGGGAAAAGACCAATGTTACTCATTCATCTGTTCATGGGCTCTGGGCTGTTTCCACCTTTTGGCTACCATGAATGATGGTGCTGGTCAGGTTTTTATAGAGAGAGCACAATAGAGCTCTCAGAGAGCAAACACAGTTTTGATTAAAGGAGCTCACAGACCACGGGGGAGACTCTTAAGAAACCAGAGAGCAATGAGTAGGAGTCGAGTGTGATAGGGTCAGGTGGGGATTCAGGGAAGGGGGACAGGGGTAGGGGTGAGGTGGAGAGGGAAGAAGGCATAAATCAGGCCAAGTTTCCTCAGGCAGAGGAAACCACTAAATGCAGAGGCCTAACAGCTCCTAACAAGGAGAAAGAGCCTGAGTTGTGTCTCGGCTCCTTCCCTGACCAACCAAGGGACTCCTAGAAAGTCAGAGGGAGGTTACAAGAACTGTTAACACAATCCAAAACAAAAACAAAACACCCTTTGGGGTCATGAAGGTGGTTAGCCCTAAGGGATAAGGGGTGTGGGGAGTGGGTCGGGGAGGCAGTATGGAAAGACAAAAGAAGGATAAAAAGCTTCTCACAACAGAACGGGTTAGGAAGTCTCAGCAACATATTTTAACTTCCTACTTGTCCAGAGCTTCAGATAACCTCAGCATAAAGGTTGGAGACACCCACCCCTAAACATCTCTCTGAAGATAGCATGTGTACAATGGTGGAGATAAGAGAGGGGCATTCCTGGTGGCATAAGAGGGTAAGTTTTAGCACTATGGAGCAATCCGCAGCCACTGCAGCACAAGATCAATACCCGGCCAAGGAGCTGACCCACATGGTGCAGCAGACCGCTCTTGTCCTGCCTGCCTTTCCCCTCAGCAGTGTATTTCAGTCAATCTGCCTGTTCTGCTCCCCACTCTGTCTCTAATGAATCCTCTCACCTCCTACACCTCTGGCCTACACCCTACTCTTATATACATAAGTAAATCTTTAAAAAAAAAAAAAAAGACTGAGAGAACAAAGAATTAACTAAGACTAATAATTTATTCATAGTATTAACAATATGCAGTAAGCAAATGGCCAAAAATTTATCAGTATGAATAACTATATGCCAACAATTTTAAAAATGAGACAAAAATGAATAAATTCCTAGAATAGAGCCTTAGAAGCATCTCAGAAAGGATATAATGTTTAAATAATATTTTTTTATTTAGAAAAAAAAGCCCTGTCCTTTTAAAATGTTAAAAAAAAAAAAAAAAAAAACTAGGGGGCCCTCCCTGATGGCACAATGTGTTGAAGCACAGCACTAGGAAGCTAAAAGCTGCTTCAGCACAAGTCCAATCCCCAGCCAAGGAGCTCACCCACATGGCACGGCAGACTTCTCCTGTCTCACCCTCTGCTCAACAGTGTACTTCATCAATCTACCTTTTCTGCTCCCCCATCTCTAGTAAATCCTCTCACCGTCCTTTCACCATTGATCTGTACCCCAGTTCTATATGCACTAATAAATTAAAAAAAAATTTAAAGAACTTTAAAAATAGAGCTTCCATATGACCCAGCAATCCCACTCCTAGGTATCTACCCAAAAGACACAAAAACACTGATTCAAA